CTCCAGCATCCGCGCGTGTCCCCGGACGCGGGGGGGAGCGGCTGCGGATTAACCACAGCGCTGACCTTCCGGGCAGAGGACAGAGTTGGGACGATGTCGTTCTGGGAACAGCGTAACAGCTGTCTTCCCTGTTGCTAAACCTGGACGCTGGACACATTTTGGTCCTCACTTTACCTGACCTCCTGTAGTCTTGGGCGCAGTGGATGCTAGCGCTTCTTCCTTGGTCTCCATAGCAACACGCCTTCCTTGCTCCTGTGGGGCCTGCCTTCTCTGTCACAGCCTGACCTAGGGCTGGCATCTCCCACACTTCTCTCCCAGCTCCTGGGCCCTTCTAGATGGCCGGCCCTTAAATACAATCCTGACCTGGCCCTGAGGCCCTGCTGCGTACCCAGTGACATGTCAGGCTAAGACGCTCAGGCCCAGTCTTGCAGAAGTGCAGGAGCGAAGGACACCAGACTCCATGTACCCCAGAGAGTCCTCATCCGGGGCAGCGAATGCTGGCGAGGCCACAGGTGGAAGAGGAACCCTTCTTCGTTCTTGGTGGGAATGTGAACTTCTACAATCACTGTGGAAATAATCAGCATGGAGATCGCTCAGAAAACTAAAAGTAGGAATTCCATCCCACCCAGCTCTTCCCTAGGTATCTTCCCAAAAGAGCCAAGCTGTCACACTGCAGCGATAGATGCACACCATGTTTGTAGCAGCACATCTCATAGCAAATCTTGGAAGCAGCCTGTATGTCCCACAGACCAATGGGTAAAGAAAACATGGTATTTATACCTGATGGAGTACTACTGTGCCGTAAAGAGGGATACGCATGAGTCATTTGTAGGAAAGTGGATGCAGTTTGAGACCATAATGTGAAACGAAATAAATCAGACACACAAGCTTAAATATCACGTGGTTTCTCTTATGTGAGAAATCCAAAGTATAAATCATTCAAACGGCAAAGTAAAAATAGACAATAGGAAACAGGGAGCTAGATCCTTTGCCAGTGAGGAGCGGGGTGCAGAGATAGAGGAGTGAGGAGGGGAAGGGGAAGTAAAAGATATTATGGATGAGTCGCGACTCCACAATGCGTGTAGTCACGTCCTGCAAAGACAGAATAAAAGAAATTTAAACATGAAACATACCAAAGCCAACCTCCTTGTCCTGCGGCCTGCTCGTAAAGCCCGGGAGTCACGTTGACTCACCCGTGTCCCTCGGCCTCGAGTCTCTGATTCCTTCTCATCAGCTCCCGGTCTCCACTGCTCCTCTCCACGTGCTCGGCCACCCTCTTCACTCCACGTGGACATTGCGGGCAGGGGAGCCCAGTCGGCCGCCTCCCCTCAGCTCCCAGGCTCCGTTCTGTTCATTCCTCACCCGTCAGTTCGAGTGAATGGTTTCTTCCGTGCTGGGGTGGAAGCCAGGCCTGTGGACGTGCTAGGCAAGCCCTGAACCCCTGAGCCATGCCCCTGGCCCCAAGTGATTTTTTTTAATACCAAGCACGTCATGTCACTGGCCAACCTGAAACATCTCATGATGGGTTTTCTCGCATCTATGAATTCACATTTCTTAGTACAGCCTGTGAAGCCCCGGTCCCCTCATCGCTTTCTGTCACCCCATCTTGGGCCACTCTCCTTTGCTTACCTCAGCACTTTGTTCGTCAGCTGTGCCAAACTCCGTCCCCAAGCGCGAGGCCTTCTTAGCAGCACTTCTGTCTCTGGAAAGCCCCTTGAGCAGGCGTCCCTCTTCCCCATCTTCTTCGCTGGCTGACTTGTCCTTCATGTCTTAGCTTCAAGCCTCAGTTTACATGCCACCTCCAAAGGTAGGCATCACCAAGGCCCGTGAAACCAACCAGTTCCTTCAAGTAGATGGGATGAGAATCCAGCCTTGAATGGTAAGGCAACTCTGGTGGGAGAAGGATCTTCCTAAGTTCCCAGGGGTGTGACACGTGTGTGTAGAACTAGAGCTTTTCACTCTCTCTACTTCTGTGTACTCTATTTTCCCATCGCACATCCAACCTTGAAGTCAGTAGCGAGCTGACTTCCGGTCCGGAGCCCCCACGAATGTCCCTCCCTTTCTTTCCATCCTCGTGTGTCATTGTCCGATGACCCAGCTAACTTCCCTAGGGCCTGCTCTCTCCTAACACTTTTAAAGTTGCTGTTCCCTTATTATTCTGATTGCTGGAGTGTCCAAGTTTGTCCCTCCGCGATTCTAAAGTCTTGGCAGGTAAACTATGAGTGTGACTACTTAACATATTGATTGCTTTGATAATAATAATTAAAAAATAAATAAAAAGCTACAGATCCATAAACCACAAGATCCAAACCCATGATAGATGTCAGCTAGAGAAGCTGTATCTTTTCATCGATGATATTGCATTTGCATAAGATACATAACTAGAAAAAAAGTAGTTGCCTTCATGTCTGGTGAATTGTACTCTCTTCAAATCTTTTCCTTCCTTCCTGCGCCATGGTGGGCTCGCTGAGGGCAGAGTGCTCCCCCGCTCTGTGTTAGGTATGACTTGCTCTGGCCAAAGGAAGGGCGGTGGTTTTCAGGTCCTTCTTTCTGACCTGGGCTGCTCGTGGTCCCTGGGGACTGGCCTGCTGTCCTGGGCTCCCTGCCTGGGCCAGGAGACAGCCTGCTCACCCCCTGAGCGGCTGCTCCTCTAGCCTGAGCCCTGCAAGGAGAGACATGTGGCCCCCTGATCCCGCCACCTGGCACAGATGCAGCTGCCCTGCAGGCCCCCAAGGGAGAAGAGTGTATTTGTCACCCAAGTCACTGAGATGCCCCACCCCCACAGACAGAACTTCTTCCCCAGCGGCAAAATGAAAACCCGACATTATCTTCTTAGCAGGCTAGAAAGCTGCTGGGCTCTGATTTCTTTCTTTTTAATTTAGAAATTATTTATTTCCAGAGTTTTCCATATATTTTCAGACCACAGTTGACCGCAAGAAAGGGAAACCACAGAGAAGGGCTCCACAAAAGCTCTGACAAAGTGTAAGCAGGGTTTGATAAAAGTCCAAAAATCTAATAACATCTAAGGAGATGGACAGCTCGAGGTGCCACAGGGTGACTTTATACAGATCTTTTGTATTGCTTAACTAGGTTTCATAAATTTAATGGGGTATGATATTTTTTAAAAAACAGAAATACCAGCCAGTCGTGTGGTGCACACCCATGATCCCAGCTACTGGGGAGGCTGAAGCTGGCGGATTCCAAGTCTGAGGCCACCTGGGCAACTGAAGCAAGACTCTGTGTCTGAATTTAAAAAAGAAAAATAGAAGGGGTCTGGGGATGTAGCACAGAGGTTGGACATCCACCTAGCATATGGCCCTAGGTGCCATCTCCAGCCCTGGGAGCACACGCTGCACACACACACACACACACACACCACCACCACCACCACCACCACCCTCCTATTAGCCAGGGCATGGATCACCTCACCCAGCTCTCAGAGCTGGCATAGGGCAGGGACGCAAGCTGCAGTGGGGGCCATGCTGGGCTCTGATTTCAAACAATAAATGCAAGGACTTGCCTTGGGTTTAAAAAGAAAAGAGCAGCACATGAAAGGGTCCTCTTTGCCGCTAGCAGCCAATCAGAAACAACAGGTAAGATGGAATGCACGAGGCTTCATCTCCCAGCTGGTGTCAGACAGGGAGGGAAATCATCTGGAGCCCGGAAACCATAACGTCCTCCTGAGTGAAGTGCACAGACACTGGAAACAACACCGGCCCGCCCACTTGCAGGAAATGCCTTGTGCTTGGAGGAGGAAAAGGGCAAATTATTCCTGTTCTTTATTGAGCCCTTCTTGTATTCCCCAGGTCACCAAGTTTATTTAACTGCCTTGTTGCACAAAGCATCCCCCCACCACTGAAAAATCGAACCCGGGGTTGTGCCCCTGAGCTACCGCTCCATCCTCTTTGTACTCTTTGCTGTGAGACAGTGTTGCCAAGTTGCTCAAGATGGGCTTGAACTTGTGAAAGGCACGCGCCACCATGCCCGGTGTTGCGCAAAGCATTTAAAGGAACTCATAACAGAAATACTTACAGTGACTAGAAATATGAAGACCACTGGCTTGTAAGCCACACAAAAGACACTATCACGTACATAGTCCTCATCACTTCAAGTTACGAAGGATCTTCTGCTGGATTAGTTTCAGCAAGCCGCATCATTGTCTTCTCAACTATCAGCACCTCTGCAATGTGACTCTTAATTCCTTCTGGGAGGAGTCGAGGCCTGTTTCCTTGGCTGCGGAGCCGGCTGGCTCGGGGCTGGATCTGACCAACTCCGCGCAGCACTTGTGACACGGCATCCTTAGGTGATCTCAGAGCCCTGCCCGGCCTCCGCCACAAGCCCCGCTGGATCCTGCCAGATGAGAGACCGTCAGGGCCACTGCCCAAGCCTAGGTCTTGAGCAAGTTCGAGAGCCCAGGCAGGACCAGACATCCCGCCATGAGTGCCCACACCCCTCTGGGAGTGGGAGAGGTTGGTCTGCCCTGCAGCAGCCCCTGGTGTTAAATCACTGGTGTAGATCTCATGGGGAGGACTAAGCTTCCACCACCGGTTCCTGAAAAGAAATTCCCCACACAAGATCACCTACAGCCTCTGCCACCTCCAGCGCTTTCCCTGGGTACCTCAGCCTGTTCCTTATCCCATTCTACCAAAGCCCTCCTTGTGGGGGCTCCTTGCAGCCTTGAGCTCTTTCAAAATGGTAACTACAAGTCTGACGGACGGACAGACAAACCCAAAGCCAACGTTTAGAGTCTTCCCTCTCCTTCCAGCCGCCATACTGTATTTTAGAGATCTTTCCCAAAGTTGGTATTGCTGTAACTCAAATATCTAACACAGGAATTTCTGAAAAACATCTCTTTGCCCTCTGGCTTTCCAGTTGTGAGCCTTGCTGCCGTGAGACCCTGAGAATCCTGTCAGCGGAAGCCTATTTTGTCCATCCGTACTACAATGGAATTGAAATAAAGGACTTCTAATTTTCATATCCCACATTCTAATTCCTTTAGTTGGAATTCTAGATTTGGATTTTATACAGTCTCTTACTTGCCTTGGATAATGCACCTTCTTCTCAGTGAGTAGGTACAAATCTACGGGAAGCTGTCTACCCAGCAGCTTACTAATATGTCAGGGTGCAAAGCAGGGTTTGAACAAAATTGCTGCGGGTGTCTGACATATTTTACTCCAGGGGAGGAAAGCCCTGCGTATTTCAGGGAGGCGACACGTGCAAACAAGCCGGGTTCTGGCTCAACACCCAGAATCCGACCGCATGTTGTAATGCACAGAACAGAAAGTTTTTTAGAAGTCTTGGGCCTACAGGAAATCTACAAGGAAATACCTAGGCATCGGTGACGTTTGTCTCCGAAGGCGTGCACGGCAGCTTCATTTATAATAGTGAAAAATCAGAAGACACCTAGCCTTCCGACTGAAAATCACCATTTACAGAATATCAACGACATGTAAGCACACTGCGAAATGCGCACTTAAAAAGTTAAATGCAGATGAAGATTAGGAAACAGTGTCATCCTACTGTAACAATACACAGAGATGAGAACAAATGTAAGCCTGGAGAATATTCTAAAGTGCCCGTGTTTCTGTGTAGCGGATCGCTTTTACACGATCTTTTAAACTTCATGAGCCCCGCGCCGCCCACCCTAGGACTGTGCTGTCCCTGCAATGCCTCCACCTTCCGCGAGGGGGCGCAGCGCGGTGCCGTCCGGGCGCTCCGGCGGGAGGGGCGCGAGTGCGTGGAAG